TTTGGGATACTCACAGGAGGCATAGGATGCATGTGAGTTGTGAGCTGGAGGTTGGGGGAGGTGGGATGCTGGTTGATGAGTTTAAGGGTAAGAGATGTCCTATTTATTTTTTGTGAGGGCTTGAGGTTGTTTTTGATTGAATAAATCTGAAAAATTGCGGGGAAAAAATAAAAGAAAAATCCAATAATTTTCTTCTTAAGGAAGTTACATGTACTACTTATGCTTTCTCCTTCATCAAGCTAGAAAACAGAATAAGGAAAAAGAAATTTTTGTTAATTTCTTAGAAAGCAGTATATATACCTGGTACTAGAAATTTGAGGCGCGCAAATACACGCAATATGAAAATATGTTGCTTCTGCATATTTGTATTTTTAAAAATATCATTGCATATTATTTATTGAGATCGTGCATTAATTTGCATATATTGTTTGAACTTGAAATCCTCCATTAAATTTTTTTTCTTTCATCCTCACTATTTTCTTTATATGTTAGTATAAATTTCAGTTTAGATATATATGCATATAACTTTGGCTTCCATATTTACATATATTTTCCCCCTTAAAATCTGTGTCTTTACCTTTGTATCTTTCATAACGTAACAAAATGTAAAGAACAGGCAATCGAGTGGGCTAATTTCTCAAAGAGTAATAATAACCTCATGAACAAAACCAATCCGAACCATTAAGAAGTTCATTTATATATACATTATATCACAATTAACGCATGCATCAAGATTCAAGAACCCAATCACACTAAGTGAATGATATAGCGGGGGCAAAAAAAAAAAGTAAAAAAATGCCAAGGTGGATAAAATTATAAAGGAAATAACAAATCTGAAGAAAAAAATAGCATTCTACATCGATAGAATCACTTTGGTTGAGAGAGAGAAATTTGTTAAGAGCATACATCACTCTGATCATTTTGCACAATCATATTTTCCTGTTTATATTATAATAAAAAGTGGCAGAAAAGAGAGAGAACAAAGTGAGAGGGCAAATTCATAAAAGAACTAACAGTTCTCTTCAAGGTTACAGTTCACTGAAATTACTTCACTTTTCTTCCAGCCGCCGTAGGACTGATTCCGCAAATATTTGCTGCCTGGGATTGTGACAAAAAAAAGGAATAATTCAAGATAACCACAATAAAGCTCAAGCATTCACGAATATATTCTCAAGGTTTATTATTATTATTATCACATTTCTCCTTATATTATTTGTAGTTACTTGCATGCCCTCCTATTTTCAAAAGGACTAAAACACCCTCGTGACTTCAAATTGGAAGCAAAATTACCAGCTTGAAACTCTTTCTTCCTTAGCGAGAGTAACCATTACAGTGATGACAGTGTAATAGCGTCAAAGAACCATTTTTTGAGTTAAAAATTAAATCCCTTGTTAACTCATGAACTTGGATACCGACAATGTGCAGTAACCAACAAACATTGTATCAAAGAGGAATATATCTCACTATAATGATAATACATCAAAAGTTCAGTTTACGTACTTGCGCTCTGTAAGCTTAGGACTTGGGCGGAAGTACTTCAAATATCCATCCCACGGGACCTTTCTGAGACCAGCTCGGACCGAAATCATATCCCTGACCCTGCATGATATGAAAAATATATATACAAGAAATTTTGAATACGATCTCCTTGAAAATGTTCTTGAAATCAGTTGAACTCTAAAAATATTGTACCTTTCAGCGAATTCAATAGAAGTCTCTCCCGGTTTCAGATACTGTGGTTCAAGATACCAAACATCACATACCACAGCCCATGATGTCATAAGGCGCATCAGATGCATCGTAAAAGATTGCCTTATAAATAAAATGAAAAAAAATTTTGATGAGATGAGAAATACAAATTTTTTTTTAAGGAAGATCATTATGGTGGATAGAAAAGCAAGTGCAACAGGTATCTGTGAAATTATAAAACTGTATACTCTAATAGAAAATAACAGCATATTTTCCTAGTATTGGTATTAAAGCTTTTCTGCATTTGTACTGCATTGCGCACTTTACATGAGTTTTCCCTTCTTATGTGTTTATATCATGAATCAATTTGACTTTGAGCTGCAAGCATCATGTGAAATTACATGCTTCCTCCATGGTTTAAGGTTTGGGTACTTTGTAAAGCGGGAGCAGCAGGATTATGGTAGTTAACTTCTTACCAGAAAAAAATTAACCTTTGCAGACATTTCCATTAATAACATTGTAAAGTAATAACATTTCTCCAAAAAATAATATAACAAAAGCATACGTAATGATGATAGCTTGGCGCTTAGGTTCTTACTTCTTGCTGTTCCAGAAGGCGTCCACGAAAATTTTATTGTACTTGATGGCTACAGGACAAACAGCACATCCCAGTTCAAATGCGCCCTGAAAACATAACACAAGTTTGAAAGAAAGTCATTTATAGCCAGAATTACTATAATAAACTTAAATTGCAATACTGTCAGGGAAAAAAACAGCAAAAGAAGAAAACAACCACAATATGACTAATAATGGAAATGGTTCACAGCTTAGTTACATGAAGGAAACCTTAGGAACACCTTGGTTGCTATAAGACGTATAGGCTGATTCTTTGTCTAGAAAACAAGTATATTACAAATATCCCTGAAGTCAAGGTTTTTGCAATATTTGCACATTCTTAGTTAGTCTACAGAAATAACGGTGCCTTGATTTCCAGAAAAAGTCTACTCATAAAGTCAAAAACGAATTCAAGGAAAAAAACACAATTCAATTCGAAACAGCTGAACAGAAGACAACTTTCTATGAACCAAATACTCTAAATGAGGCAATAAATTTATATATTTTCTTTGCGTACAGTACTCCGCTGATTTATCCATGAGAGATTCGAAAATGAAGCAAAGAGTAAGCTTTCGGGTTGATAAAATTCCTTTCAATGAAAAATCTAATTTAATTGCATCACAAACCTTTTTGAACATAACAGTGTAGTCATTGTTCACACAAGTTCCTTCCGGAAATATTAGTAAAGGATTGTTGTCCCCTTCAGTATGTTCTCTTAACCTGAAAGTTTAAGGCATATACCAAGAATATGAGTTACCTATGTACAGATACACATTATATTTACATCATGAACATGGCCCTTACTTTCTTGCTACAACTTCGCGATCCTTGGCCTCGGTACGATTGAACCAAATAGAACCTATGCTTTCCAAAATTGTCGTCTGAAGGAAACCTGTACTAAACAATTAAATATTAACTGACAAATTATCACATCAAAATATGAACTACAAACTCAGTGAAATATATTCGTGTAGCACCCAGAAGGGGAACCAACTGTTCTTACCAACCCATCCAGGATGCTTCTGCATGATTACAGCAAATGCAGCCATCTGCTCTAAAATGATGAAATCAATCATCGAAGTATGATTCGCCACAAATACCTACTCAAAATGATGAAGACCTGCTAAATTGAAAAGTATGATATTTGAAGGATTTATATTGATGGTTTTATGGTAAATATACCTGTTGAGGGCGCATGCTAGGACGAGGTCCGTGATACCTGACAACACCAGTCCAAGAAGCAACAAAAACACTACATATCATCTCCACCAATTTTCTCTGATCAACAAGCAACATTAGTATGATTTAAAAATCATTCATACTAGGATTATGTGACATAAGTAAGAAAATGATATTATGTGTAAGGTGTGTCCCTTACATGGTTAACCAATATTTATATTTTCAGCATGTAAAAGATTATAGGCTTGTGTCACCCAAGGGCAAATGGCAAGAGATAAATGTTTAATTAATCTGGTAATAAGTTAAGTCGTGCTTCATACAAACTTGCGTATGAGAATTTAAGTCGTGTTTCAACCAAAATTCAATCAATCTCATAAGTCATGACGTCCTCTTGAAATGTCTTTACTTGTTATGACTTATGACTAACTCATTACAAATTTATATGACTACATGAATGATTACCCTGAGATGTCTAATTACTAGTTATTCCAGGAAATTTACAAAACACTCAAACAATGTTCAAAAGAAATATTTGACAAGGGATTTTAAATTTTGTCTTACACATATAGATAATAGATTTCTCTAACTAAACAGTTCACATGTAAATGCTAGCACAAAATTTGAAAGAAGGTTGACATAAAACTTGAAACAAAACTACCAAAGCTGCCTCTATATTAGAGGCTCGGAATAGGAGAATCTGCAAAAAAAAAGACATGACGCCTACCTCTATATTATTTTTCCATTTGTTCTGCCCTTTCATTAGATAATGAACAGGAAGAAAGGCTGAAAAGAACACAATCCATCCAGCTGCCAGAGTCATAACTCTACATAATATATATGGAAAACAAATGAGTTGGATAAGAATCAAAAGAAATCTGCATAAAGTGTTCGTGCAACAGGTATTATTAATGATGAAGGAATGCATCAAAATTTCTCTAACAAGCCTCCTTAGAATAGTGAAAACTATATTGATAATTGAAGGCCAGAAGATGATTGTTGCGAGAAAAATCCTTGCCCAATGACGCATCAAACCTATAGAGGTTTTAGCAGTTTTACTCTAAAATAGGTAATTAAGTGGAAAAATCAATTGCTAAACTTAGGCATTACGTTAACTTCATGTACCTTGCTAGTCCAAAATTTAACAGAATATTTTAGGTGAAATAGTCCTTACATGGTATCTCAGAACTACCTGCAAGAGGTTTTGGGCTCTAACCTCATCATTGTAAATACATTTATTTGCCCCCGTTTATTTTGGTTAGAGCAAAGTTGTAAAGTGAAGATCTTTTTTACTTGATAAAAAAGTTACGGAAATATTAACAATTATGCTAGCTTGATATATATTATTAAGCCAAAAACAAATATTTATGCTTTCGGCTAAAGTGTTATTGACAACTAACTTGGCTTTCCAACCAAGAGTTGGATAGTCTTTTGTGATGGAGAAAAGATGCTAGAAGTTTGTAGGTTTCTCCACCTTTATCTTTGACCAAAAGGTGAGCAGGTTGAGTGTAACCACCATTTCTTATTAGAAAGGCGATGATCAACAAAAACAAGTAGCATGAACGAATATGGTGAATAAAGTGGTAGCGAAAAGAAGCATCTACGGTGTCATAAGTCGAAATGCTTATATTGTGGACAAATATCAATATTAAAATAAAAACTTAAAACAATAAATAAATTAAAGAAAAGGGCTCACCTCAAGGGAAAAAGGATCCCATATCGAACAACCACTCCCAAGCACCACAAGGGAAATAGGTAGACATTCCAATTCCAGGGTTCGGGAGGATTTGACTTGAAACATCGTGTAAATGAGTCCTATGTGAAATCAACGCAAAGTGCACGTGAACACATAAGGGAAAATTAAGATAGACCATATTGTACTGAAGCATGTGAATTGTGACCAGGAGTCAAATTCAAAAGTTATCTTCTCCTCCTTGTTCTCTGTGACATTTCACAATATTTATGAACCATTAAAGTATCCTACTTTCATGAAAATAATCCAAAAACCTATTTCTATCATCCAATAACCCTTTGGTTACACTATCAACCTCCGATTTTGTGATAAAATTACCTCGCATAAGGATTCAATAAAGCACATCACGCCTAATAAGCATAAAAACAAGGCGAAAAGACTAATTGAATCTCATAAAATGCATCAAAGTTTCATCTCTTTTCTTCTCTCTTTATTTCCTGTCACTACTGTTAAAGGCCCTTCCCCACACCAAAACTGGCCTGGTCTCACACGGCGGAATATTTCTCTTAATAAACATTAAATATGTGACGGGTGGGATTCGATCTTGAGCAACTTTGATACCATGTGAAAGGTCCCTTCCACAACACCAAAACTTCTGAGCAGCGGCGAGAGTTGAAGGTTATAATTTTATACTCTCACAATTACAGCTAGGGATAATCAAAAATATAATAGAGAGAAATGGTATTGTACTCACATCAACAATTGCTCCTGCAGCCTCAGTTAGTGTAGGAGAAATATCGAGTAAATCCTTCCTAATAAACAAAGTAAGATTATCATCAGTACCCAGTATAAGAAACAGGACTGTAAACTTACAAAGAAAGTGTCCTTAAAAAAATCCCAGCTTTTCAAAACTCCCTTGCAAATGGCATAAATTTCAATTAGGAATAATCTAACATAAACAAGATGAGACTTTTGCGAGTACCCAACTAAGGAAAACGGAAATGATTCAAGCTGAGATGAAGATCACAACCCAGATGGAAAGCAAAAGGGAAACTGAGATGAAATTATACAATTGAAGCTTCTTATGAGGTTGATGGAGGGCATCGGATGTGAGATAGTCTTCAATATTTGGAGGGTCGACGTCGATCCCTGCGCTCGAGGACTCCAGCCCCGCCATCAAAGGGTTGAGAGAGAGAAAGATTGAATCTTTCTGTTTTTTCTCTCAGATGTTTCGTTCTATTGAAATTAATCGAATTGATGGGGGGCTTGGATGCTTAAATTCCGCAATCCAAAGCGAACTCCGTTGGATTTGGTGAGATTGGGAGATGGAGGTGTTTCAATGGATGCGTGCGTATGTGTAGTTGAGGTTTGGTCGAAGTGGGATCAGACTTTTTCAATGCTGAAGAGCTGGAGAAGAAAATTAAAGATAACACCCTGAAGTGTGACAATTTTATCATATAAGTCCAGGAGAATGGTTAGCCAACCGAAAGAACAATTTTTCACTTCAGCCCCATTCTAATTTTTTATTATTGAAATCAACCCTTTTTTTTTAATTTACCAAAACCAACCCGATTCCGTGATTAGCAGCTTAATCACCTTCCTAATTAGTCGGGGTTGTCAACCCCGACTATTTAGGACATTAATTTTTAGGGTTTAAGGCTTTTAATTAGGGTTTAACACCCTCCTAAATAGTCGGGGCTGCCAACCCCGATTAAATAGGAAGGTGATTAAGCTGCTAATCAAGAAATCGGGTCGGTTTTGATAAATAAAAAAAAAGATCGATTTTAATAATAGAAAAATTAAATGGGGCTTAAGTGAAAAATTGTTCCCAACCGAAATTATGCAAAATTATATCGGGGGTTGTCTGCTTTCTCATTAGGGTTAATTCCACGTTATCTTCCTTAATTATATTATGTATCAGATATAAAAAGCATGGTGTTTTAAGAACACATAACACTTATTCTAAGGAAATATTAGCGCTGAAATTTTTTGGAAAAACATTATAATAATATTCAACGTTTTAGACTTCAGAAAGACCTCTTCTCAATTTAACTAACTCTAAACTAAGCCAAATATCAGAAAACTTCATATTGCTTAAGACGATTATTGGATAACTCTCCATTTGATCAGAAGACCCCTATGCATAGTGTTAATTATAATTTTCACATGGACGGGTAAAATTATCGTACATGAATATATATATATTTTTCAGTGAAGACCAGGAGCTCGTAGTTCTAGGAGAGTTTCTGAAAAATTAAATGGGGCTTAAGTGAAAAATTGTTCCCAACCGAAATTATGCAAAATTATATCGGGGGTTGTCTGCTTTCTCATTAGGGTTAATTCCACGTTATCTTCCTTAATTATATTATGTATCAGATATAAAAAGCATGGTGTTTTAAGAACACATAACACTTATTCTAAGGAAATATTAGCGCTGAAATTTTTTGGAAAAACATTATAATAATATTCAACGTTTTAGACTTCAGAAAGACCTCTTCTCAATTTAACTAACTCTAAACTAAGCCAAATATCAGAAAACTTCATATTGCTTAAGACGATTATTGGATAACTCTCCATTTGATCAGAAGACCCCTATGCATAGTGTTAATTATAATTTTCACATGGACGGGTAAATTTATCGTACATGAATATATATATTTTTTTTCAGTGAAGACCAGGAGCTCGTAGTTCTAGGAGAGTTTCTGAAAAATGCTCTAAGGGGGTGTTTGTTTCAAACCCTATAATTTTAGGATATGGATTTCACCATGTGATTTGAAATCCATAGGTAATTTGTTATGAGTTGGGATTCCTAAAACTTTGTTTGTTTCAACAATATTTTAGGATTTGGAATACTATAATTTGTAATATTTTTGTTTGTTTCAAACTTTTTAGAATTTGAAATCCTTAATTTGTCTAACACTTTTGAAATACACCCCACATTCCACCCAAAAAAGAGGATTTCACAAATCCTTAAATACAATGCTTTTTTATTATTTGGGGATTTGATATTCTAAAATTTGTTTTGAAACAAACAAGTTTTATGGAATTCTAAAACCCAAAAAACCCTACTTTTTGATCCTAGAAATTGAAATACCACCCAAATGTCAAATTTTTTTTGAAACAAACACCCCCTAAAAGTGAAGGGAATTTTTATGATAGCTCTTATTTCCTTAAACTGAAGGGAGGGGGGGTTCTGAAATTTTTTGAAAGTTAGGGGGTGTTGGTTAGGGAAGTGGGCTTCGTTAACCGTCCGAGTTAAGGGGGCTTTCAAAATGGCCCAGGCCCATTATTAGAAATCGCCAAAGAGGCCCAATAAGAAAACGGTCCAAAATAGCGCCATTGTCCCTCTCCTCGGTCTCAGAAAAAATGCCCCAGGGCTTTTCGAGCGCAGTCTTCCGACTAAAAAAACCCTAAACAAATCCCCATCTCAATTTCTCATTCTAATCCACGATCAGTCAAGGTAAGCTCTCTCTTATACAGTCTCCTTCATTAAATTTGATTGAATATCAAGAAAAAAGCTGGCTTCTTTTTTACTCTTTACTATTTTAGTAGTGGCAGTTATGGCAATGGCTATGAGAAGAGCTGCAAATGGGTTTCTTTTTATCTCAAAGATGCAACGAAACAAATTGGGCCGGTTTGATCTATCTCGAGTTATTCTCCGGCATTTCTCGGATCAAAGTAAGTTTTTTTTTGTAATTTTTTTTCGGGTGGTAAAAATTACTGTTTTAACTCTGAATATATATAATGTGAGCTCTATTCATGGGCTGTGATGATCGTATGGTATCCTAATTTTGGCTAAATTTTCAGAAACTGCCATCAACTTTCGTTATTTTTCCGAGAAAAACATCTGAAACTTTGCGTGGTATAGCACACTATCAGGAATTATCCTCGAGAATTCATTTCTGCTTCGGGATAAACAAGTAGACTAATCGCGCAAACACCTGTTGCTTTCAATTTTTTTTAAAAAAGGGAACTATCACAAACTTTAGGTTTCATGGTGGTAATTTGAAATAAGTAGAGTTTATCTTTTGTTTTGAAAGGAGTGAAAGTTCTCTGTAGTTTTATATAAATTTTCCTTTAATTTGTAAGGGGAAGTTAGTTTGAGCTCCACAGTTGCTAGTATAGGTTTTCCCCCTGCATTTCCATATGAGATTAAAAAAGGTACTGACAAAGTGGATTTGGCTTCGTATCTTGTATTACTTCTGATTCTGCTTTTTATCTTTTCATGTTACCGGACCAGGGGACAGATCGTTCATGAATCCGTCGGATTTTGAGAAATGGGATAATGGTGGTGGTCTTTTTCATAGGACTGCATCCATTGATCCAACTGCAGTTATAGAAATTGGTGCAGTTGTACATCCAAACTCTGTGCTTGGTGTCGATGTTCATATTGGATCTGGAACCATAGTAGGCCCTTCTGTCTTTGTTGGGAATTCTACAAAAGTAGGGTATGCTTTCTTATTTGACTGAAATGTGCGCATTTCTTAATCATTTTAACGCATTCTAATAACTTCAATAAAACATTACATCTGCTTAGTTATGAATCTGCTATCCAATTAATTCCACATACAATTTGTTACTGACGTTTCCTCTAGGTATAATGCTGCCCTAAGTAATTGTTCCGTGGGCATGTATTGCATATTCCATCATGGCGTTCGCATTGGCCAAGATGGTAAGACATATTCTACTAGTGCTATAATTTCATCCGAGTCACAAATAACTCTGGGTCACTTTATTATCATTGCGATGAGTTTTGACACTGGTTCATCGTGTTTTAGTCTTCAACTTATATCTTGCTTCTGTTATAAAAGTTTACAGATAATGTCTGTTATTATCTTTTTATCCTTCTTATCTTAATATGTTATCATTTACCAAGAGAAATCTTGACTATTTGCTGCTTAGTGCATATTTTAACGAAATGGGCAAATGGCTGTTTTTTGTTTCTCCACAGGGTTTGGATTTTATGTTGATGACAAGGGGCATGTACTGAAGAAACCACAAGTTCGTTATATTCCTCACTCATAAGAAATATCTTAGGGAAAACATGTGAGAGCTTATGCTGGCAAAGTATCTCCCTTCACAAACCCAAAGCAGCACTAAGGAAGACGTTTCAGTTGATTCTTAGGTGCACATGGCACATGAGATATAATTTAGTTTTCATGTTTTCATATTAAAGACAACAATTTCAGTGAAGTGACAGTAGAGAAGTACTTATATGAAATCATATTTGATGCTTAATTGCATATGAGAAAAATAACTCATTCGATAATGAAGATGATGATTACCCAATACCTATTGGCGATATAAATTTATACAGACATACAAGAAAACGTTTAACACCTGTAAATATCATGTTCTAGTGAACTATAAAGTCCAAGCAGCCTAATAACCGTTATTTATGATAGTCAAAATAATGTCTAGTTAAAAGTATTTTCATTGCCTAGCCATGTCATAGTTTATTCTTGTGTGAACTTTGTGTCATGAGTCATGAACTGTTTGTATCGTTGTTTCATAGGATACTTAAGAGTTGCACTGTCTTATTAAAATTTGAAGAACTTCTCAATTTGGCTCTTTAGTTTACGTATTTGTGCCTTAAAGATGAATCACCATTCATTTTCCTAAGCCATATCTCCAACTTTCCAAATCTGCCTCTGTACCTTAATCAATATTAACTATTTTTAGGACCTTACAATATGAATTACACTAATCTCAAAAGGTTATATAATTCTGGATTAGTAAATATGCCTCTCTCTTTTTTTGCCTGACAGGAGCTGTGTGTGAGAATTGGAGATCATGTGGAAGTTGGTGCTAATACTTGCATTGATAGAGGCAGGTAAATTGGATATCTATTTGATGGCTCCAATGAAATATAGGTAGAGTGGTATCTTATCTTATTATGTTATGCAATTCTTCCCTAAAATGATTGAATATTGAAGTTTTATGGGTTTGTAAAGAATATTCATCATTTTCTGTTTGCTTTGCATATTATGCTGACTACCAACTTTCTAAATGTTATTTTTTACGCAGCTGGAGAGATACTACTATAGGGGATCATACCAAAATAGATAACCTAGTTCAGGTGGGTTTGATGTGCCTGTGTGCACCAAAATATCTGATACTATGAAATTAATTAGAATCTTATCATATTGTTAGACCTTAAGATGCGAAGATGGATGGAATTCTCCATTGTTTCCTTCCTCTATCGAGAGATTCCACCTCTTGGAAGTTTGTAATCTAAAGATAAATATATCTTTCAGTTATCATTTATGTAATATATTTTGTTAGATGTGACCTCTTTTTTTTCCTTTTTTGCAGATTGGTCACAATGTTGTTATTGGAAAGTGTTGCATGCTCTGTGGGCAAGTTGGGATTGCTGGTTCTGTAACGTCCCCCCCCCCCCTCCACCTCCTCCCTTTTGTTTTTTTGAAATATTCAAGTATATAGAGTTAATAAGCTAGGAAGTTCAAGACCTGATGAATTTTTTAAAGAGTCTATCGAGTTTAATATCTAAGTTCTTTATAGAATGGGAGATTATGTGGTCATGGGAGGCAAATCAGGTGTTAAAGATCATGTTTCAGTTGCTTCAAAGGTATTATCTTTCTGTCAACCAACCAATGTTTTCCCTTTTTATACTGTGTCTTGAAGAAGAATAGGAATGTATGACATTCTATTGTTTGTGCAATCAACCAGGTCCTGTCTTTTTAAAATAAAATGTAGGGGAGTATGGACATTAAAAAGGTGCTAATGAAGGTCAATCAAGTATCAATGATTAGCTGATGACATTACTACAAACCTTTATAAATTGAGATGATATTCTGGGAAGAAGCAGCTATGAAAAAAATGTGAAAACAGAACTCTTGACTTCCAAAGTATAAACAAAATGGTACTTTCTTAGGAATGCTGATAAGTTTCAGAAATAAGTATTTTTGTGATCTGGATACTTCATCCAAATAATCATTCATGTTTGCGCATGAAAGGTTACGAAGACACAAATTCATATAGTAGTCATGCACAAATGTAACAAATCTAACTTCTATTTTCCACACGAGCCAACACATGAAATTTATGGTTTCTTTATACTGACCTGTTACTTACAGCAATATGTATACTTCCTTATTATCCCATAAGTCACGAAACCGTCATGGTGTTTTTTTTATTGCGGCAGCTTTAATTTTTTTAAATTCATTTTATTACACTCTCTGGTAACATTTTATAGGTCATCAGACTCCCATCAGATCAAGTTTCAATCAAATTGTTAGCTAATGGAGAAATTGACCAAATTATTGTTTGTGACATAAATATACAGTTTTCTGAGAGGATTGAAATTGGGTTGACAATTTACCAAGCAAATTTTCATTCTTTGGCCTAAACCCGATGTTTCAAGTATCTTGTTTGTAGAACCTGAACTGTAAAATTAAAATAAAATAAAATTTTAGATTATCATTCTTTAAACTGGTGCAGGTACGAGTTGCAACAAATAGTGGTGTCATAAAGGACATTACAGAACCCGGTGATTATGGTGGTTTTCCTGCAGTAATGATTCAAATTCTCTCTTTCAGGTTATTATACATCGCGTATGAAATGTTTATTTTCGCATATTGTTTCTACATTACAGGTTCCAATCCATGAATGGCGCAGGCAATCTGCTAAGCTTCGCTATTTTTTCAAGCAATAGTCCAGCTTGTAAAGATTTGTGGTTTATCTGGATGAATGTGAAATTGAATGCATTCTGTTGTAAAAGCGAGCTAAAAAATGGTTTTCCATTGTTTTTAAAAAAAGGTTCACGAGAATTTTGGATTTGATTTGAGTTGTAATTTTTCTTGTATCCAGAGAAATCTTTCTTGTGGTAAAGACAGTAGAAATGAAAGTCAAATTGTTGCGATTGGCTCCTTTTTCTTATTTCTGCTCTATGTTTTTTTTCCTTAACTCTACACGAGCTTTTTCCCCAGTTCATCTTTCTTGCTAATTCATAAAACTTGTCCTCAAGCATCACAGTTTTTTTTATTAATCTCAAGGGATTTACATAATAAGCAGATTTTCGCCTATTACCTTGCTGCAATTCTACCAAATTTATCAAAATATTTGGCTATAAAGTAGAGGAATACTTCACTCTGTAGATATTCTCAACAGGCCTGCGCACTGAAAACTTAAAACCATGCCCCATCGTCACCACAAAACACAGAAGTAGCAATTTTCTTATTTTTCTCATAAATATATTAATTTAAATTTAATATATATTATATTTATATATATATATAGTAAAGAGCTCCTATCAACTTAAGTTGATGTCCACCAAACTTCCTAGCCACACATTTATTAATATAAAAATCTTTTCGCACGTTAGTGTGCGAAAAATTTTCGCATCCGAAAATTCCTCTATATATATTATATATATATATATATATATATATATATATATATATATATATATATGAGAAATATGGGTATGCTTGGTACCAAGCACAAAAAATTGTGCTTGATAGTGAGGTGTCAAATCCCCCTCCACTCATTTTCAAATGTGGGAATAAATTCACATGGATAGTGAGTGGATGAGGATGTGACACATCACTACAAAGCACAAAATTTATACTTGGTACCAAAGCATACCCCCCCCTCTCTCTCTCTCTCTCTCTCTCTTCTCTCTCTCTCATCTATATATATATTATATATATATATATATATATATATATTATATATATATATATAATATATATATATATATAGAGAGAGAGAGAAATGGGCATGTTTGGTACCAAACACAAAAAGTTATACTTGGTAGTGAGGTGACATAATCTCCTCTACTCATTCAAATGGTTACATTTCCCTATGCACTCCTCAACCCATGTGAATATGATCCCTCATTTGAATGAGTGGAACGGATTGTGCCACCTCACTACCAAGCACAAAATTTGTGTTTGGTACCAAGCATACCCATATTTCTCATATATATATATATATATATATTGCAGGAAGAGGAAGAACATGTTCAAGTACATCTAACCTTCCTCTCTTGTGGGGACTTTCAAAAAAGTATGAGGTATGCAATTCTCAACAGGACATTAATATCAGATAAAAACTATCAGTCCTTCATCAGAAAGCAGGAAATTTAGGCTTAACAAAAGTAGAATCACATGTTACAAGTCTAAAATGCGCAAAATTCCCCCCTCATCACTTTGCTGAGGCTCGTGCACTCATTGAAGAATGATAACTTGTGCTCCTCTGCTTCCTATACGACGTATAAACATCACCATACTGACTCTCCTCATTCGGGTTCGCACTCGCTCCAAGCCCCAACCGACCCGACCCACCCTTTCGATCAACACTGCCATCTGCGTACATTCCAGTCTCAGGATCGACCTGCAGATTCACTGGTGGAGGAATACAAGCTCCGCCCTTTCTCACCGCCTTTTCACGCTCATAAACATCATCCTCATACTCATCTTCTTGATTGGACTTTGTAGACTTCATTGGGCCCTCTGATGGGTTCACCTCCCCAATTTCTTTAAAGAATTTAGAGACACGGTCAAGGATTTCAGAGGGAGGGGTGGTGGATGGTGGGATGATGGTGGGGATGTCGAGGGGGCTCATGGGGGAGTATGGAACTCCACTTCCAATTTGCGGTTTTCTAAAACTTTTGGGGGTTGGGTAATTGAGGGAGCAACTGGTGGGTATATGCCAGATGGAGGTATGGTAGAAGTAAAGTGGGAAGCTGGGGGAAGTGATTTCTGAGTATCCTGTTGAATTGCGGAGCTTGATGCAGAGTTTTGCTTCTCGGGTTGCTGCCACTGCAAAGGTGGTTGTTGACCTGTAGTTTCAAGGTAACGCAAGAATGTCAAGAATCACGAATTTTGATGAACCATTTGAGGATGGGATTTGAACCCATGACATATTGGGAAATGATAAGAACTGCAGAATAAGAAGCACAATATAAACACTAAGAACCTCAATTGTTAACCTGAATCATGGAATCAGAATACATAAAAATAAGGAATAAAAAGAGAATTTGTTCATGTGAGGAAGTTTCAGGACACTTAATATGTGAAATTAGGTTGAGCTGGAATTCCATCCGAAATATCTGAGTTGTGCGTATTTATGGAAACCAAGAATCCGAGCAAATAATGACTCACTTTGTTTGTAAATCTGAAATTCATAACCGTGACCAAACAACTGCAACAAGTGGCATTTTATATAATAAAAAAAGTTGATAGGGGTCATAATGCATTCTTACATGCTCAATGAATCAGCTTTTAAGGCATGAAGCTTTATGAATGGAGAAAAATGTACAAAATCCATCAATAGTTAAGAAAAAATTTAGACAACTATTGCAAACAAACTATATATGAGAACTAAGTGAGTGAAAGAAACTTGGACAACTATTGTAAACAAACTATATAAGCGAAGTGAGTGAAAGACATTTAGACAACTATTTTAAACAAACCAAGAGTGAGTTGAGTTGAGAGTTGAGTAAGTGGGTGACTGAGATGGCTGAGGAGGGTGTGAGTGCGTGGGTGGGTGCGTGAGTGACCAACCGACCTGCGAACATCATGGGGTCTGAGGCAGCTGACATGGCTGTTTGTGCTGCTGGATGCAAAGGAAGTCTACCAGTCATTTCACTCTCAAGGCTATCTATGGTAGCCTGATCATACACTTCCTTTGAAGCCCAGAAGTGGAGAATTTTCTCAAGCCGAGATTGGTTTGCTTCCTTGTTATGTGGATTGTTGTAGATTCTTGAAAGCATGGATCCCAATACAGGTCTGAATGCAAGAGCCTCATTATCAAGATCTTGTGGATTTACCCGGCGTTGCAAGCTGGCAATAGAAAAGGGAAAAGGGGGAAAATAAAGAGATGAGTTAACAAGGTATCCACAATTTCCATAAGAAAAAAATAAAAATAAACATGAATGAGTAAAAGTATGAAAGGAACTAGGAAAATTTTTTAATAAGAGAAAAGAAGCTTATGAACAAACTGTTCTGCACATATTGTGTTCGACTACAAAAAGCTTTTTTGACATTCAGATTTCATAAGAGCGGTATCCTAATCAATGTTAGTGATCATTATCGGATTATCCATATTCTATCTAGTCCATGCCTCACCCTAGTCACTCATCTCAAACTAGCTGCTCATTGAAGTATAGTTTTATCACTCTTCATTTCCATCCTTATCAACTTATCCTCCCTTGTGCTCAATTAGGGCTACCTCAAATTTCGTATGAGAACTAAGAACTAAAAGCTCATTTCTTACAATATTATTTATCTTGTTGATGCCTATCAACCTTGAGAGTCGCAGATTGGTTGCACTCTTTTTTCCTTTCAGATAACGTGTTGACTGCTCCATATTTTCATCACTACAGCATGAAGGTCATATAGTGGTGTAACTGAGGTGATTTTGTATACCTCTTTGTAAATTATTTAATTGTATTTTCCTAAGTATCTATTAGTTAGTTAACCGGTGACCATAATCAGTTACTGGATCCCAATAGTCTGATTCAGATACTACTGCAGACTTATTGAGTGAGCAATAACAAATTTAGTTATAGAACTTTAAGAGTTAATTATCATGTATAATCATATAAAAGGTTCAAGTTAAGTGAAATCAGAGAGGGCATTCAAATGTGTGTCTGAAGATTGAGGTCTTGCTCTATATCTCTTTTTCTCTTTTGTCCTTTCTTTCTTTCTCTTGTTTCTCCAATATTATCCAATATTATGAGTCGGGATAGTACAGATATTATTTCTCCTCATACATTTACCAATTAAGCCCCAGATCTTATTTCTGTCATCTAGAAATGATAGCTATACCCATAGGTCGCAATTGCATTACATAGTCATTTTATAAAATTTCCTCTTAGCATCACTACGTTTTATAGGCGTAGAATACCCATAAAGAGTTCTCATGAAAACAACATCCTCAATCACATACCACATTAATGAATGATTGATCCCGGAGATGATTGACTACAAGTCTACAATTGTTTAAATGAATGGGTCAAGGCTTTGGTCTACCACCACTATTGGCTAGCAGTCCTCAAAATTCTTCCATTGACCTCAGTCCCTTTCCAAAGACACAGAAATAAAATGATAAAATTACAACTAAAGTTATCACAATTTTAGATTAAAGCCACCTCTCATCATCAATAAGAATGTCTATATACTAGGCATGGCAGGATGAGAAAAATCAACAGAAAGAATATTGTATAATTTACTCGCATAAAAAATGGAGCAATAGCAACATGATAGTGAGAAAAAAGAGAGCAGGACTTTAATAAATTAATTTCCACGTGCTTGGTCAAGAAGCTAGTCAAGGTTAAGAAAATAAAATGAACAATTACACATCTAATAATACTTGGATAGGAAAGTAATTACTAAAGTAGGAAAGGTAAAAGTTCCTCTTGTGAGAAGTAAATATAACATGGAAGTAATACCTGTCAAAAAGAATGTCATTAGCCAGGAAAATAATATGGAGCTGTCTCTCAGGATCGTCCAAAGCAAATATCCTTTCCCGAAGTGCTTCAGCAAGAGCCGGTGCAAAAGGTGACCTCTGCATAAACCACATCTTGGCGCCTTTGATCGACTCTTTAGTGCCTGTAAGATTACTGAGCACGCCATTAAGCTCAACAGCAACATCAGATGGAAGCGGCCCTGACAAGCCCTTAAACCCCATAGTTGAAGAATCATAATCAGCTCGTCCTTGGCCCAAGAAAGGTTGCAAATGTGGTGGTGGTTGATGCAAATGTGGCTGGTGCAATGGAGGCGAGGCCAACATGGAAGCTGGAGGAAACGAAGGGTTGACGGCTGGACCAGGTGGTCTGGTGAATAACCAGAGCTTGTAACGATAATAATTATGTCCTTCTCCCCCAAAGAGGAAGCTGTAGTCGGGATTATCTTTCTGCTTCTCACGGATCATAGCTTCGAATTCAGGGCCATTCTTGGCAGCATACTCCGCCAACTTATCAATTATTTTATGTAGTTCGGGATCGGATGGGGGCATGGCTGGCGGAGGGGGAGAATCAAATGGATGCATGAAAGGAGGAGGGGAAGGGAAATTGCTGCATTGAGGGGTGAGGGGGCATGAAGGGTGGGCCTTGGACCTGCTGAGGGAACTGGGGTTGGGGGTGGAAACCAAAGTGCTGCTGTTGTTGAAGACCAGCTTGTTGCTGCTGAGCAAAAGCCATTGCTGCTGCATATTCATGAGCTTGCCTATCCATCGAATATGTATAGAATCTTGCACAATGCGAGTTCAATTGAAAACGTTATGGCCAAATGATCTTTTTTGTTCTTTACTACAAGAGGAAAATAAGTGATACACAGTCAGTGACTACCAGAGGAAATTGCTGCAAAAGAAGTTATATGTCACAGAAGACAGCATGAACGCAATAGGCAACGAGCTACACATCTATAGGAAAAAGATGAAGGTGATTCCTATGTTACTGATTCAAACCTTTTAGCGCGAGATTGTGCAAGGGTAGTCTCAGAATTTCAGCGTTGCCTACATGAATCTTATTCTTCCATTCAGTTCTATTATGGCCATGCATTAAGTTAACTATTATTAAATCCTTTTTAATTGTTTCCAACCAAGTTATTATAGATCTACATGTAGTCCTCTTTACCACATTAACTATAATATTACCACTTCTTCTAACTGGTGTATAAAAGCAAGTTCTTTCCTATGGTAGACGAAAATAAGTGATACATGTAACTATGGGAGAAAATTACTACAAAACAGATATTCTGACAAAGAAGACAGGATAAGAGCAATTGGCAATAGGGCCGAGTATGGTTCGGTCCAAACCGAAAAAACCGACCGAACCGACCTGGAAAAATCGGTTTTATGAGTAGGGTGGTTCGGGTCGGTTTGAAAACTTTTTAACCCGAATCGACTGAATATAGTGCAATATTACTCGTTCTGATCTCAAACCCTACCTGACCCGTCCCCAAAGAGTCAAAGACTCAAACCCTAAACTCATTTTCTGAATCATTATGGGTTAAAAACAATATCATTATATCAGTGTTTAATGTTTCATAATCTCCTACTTTGTTATCTTTTTTTTTCTTTAACACAGTTTATTGTTTGATAAGAAGTTTGATGAAGTTAGAACAAAACAAACCGAACCGAACCGCACCGAACCGACTTGCAACAGTTCGGTTCGGTTTTGAATTATAGGCGGTTCGGTTCGGTTGTTCAAATTTTGATAAAAACCGAATCGAACCGACCGTTGCACACCCCTAATTGGCAACAGACTGGCCAAACAATGAAATATAATTAGCAATAATTTCAAAAAAAAATCATCTCATAACATTTTTCGTAATGTAAGATAGCAAATGTATCTAGTAATTTTTTCATAGATAATGCGGCAATCCAAAATCATTCAAGCATTTTTGACATCCACAGTTCACAGAAAAGGATTAGATTACTAGTAGCGGCAGCAAGCATAAATATATATAATTATGTTAAAAAATCCATTCTTTGGGCTTAGGGCAACAGTTAAGCGACAAAGACAACAAGGGTACATACAATTAAAGGAACTGTGATTAGGGTTTGATTTCAGTCTCCGCGCTAATAAAAACGCTAAATTGACAGTTTTCGCTATGCAAACGCGCATCGTGGACAGAAATAATATAAAACTTCGATCAAAATCTTGGTGAAATCGAGAAACCCTAACGAAATCGGAATAAATTGGGGTGAGAACTTACTGCTTGCTTCGATCTCTGGCTGTTGTTCGAAGCTCTGGGTTATTTTGGTCTGGGGGAAATGAGACCTAATGAAGAGCTGTCAATTGGACCCGATTATGGACCCGACCCGAACCAAACTGACCCGACCCTGAGTTACCTCGCAATATTGGCAAAAATAAATAAAACTGATTTTTGAATCAGTGCATTTATTACAGATTTCCCCCCCGGCGCTTCCTTCTACGGTAATATAATAAGTCGCATTTTTAACTCATGTAAGCAAATAGGTCAACTATCATTTGATAGAAGCTGCTTTGATAACCAAGGGCCTAGCTAACTCGGTAAGTTGTCTATGAGTTGTACTCTAAGCTCTCATATTCGACCCTCCTAGAAAGAAACAAAGTTAAAGAATTTTTTTCTTTATGCATGCATGCGTCAAAATTTGTTGAGAGATTCGCAGCTATAATTCAAAGCATGAGCAAATCCATAACAGTTTATCCTAACTATATATTTTCCATTTCCATTTCCTAATTGTTTAGGCATGTCTAATCCCTTAGATCTAAGGTGTCTCTCATGGTAATTTTATTATCGATTAATGAGCACTATTTTTTACTCGACCTATGTGGAGTTTTGTCATTGTATATGTGTTACTAGTTTTTACACACGTGCAATGCACGTGATTTAATACCATGAGTATTTTTGGCAGTTTGTGCTCGTTTTTTCTTCAAACTCTTACATCCCGATTATTTTTTTATGTTTGTTTAAATGGGATACACCCAATTTAAATTTTCATGTTGATATTTGAATTGACAAAAAACAAATATAATTTAAAAATAATTTGAATTTTCATATTATTTTTGACCGATATGAAACTAAGCTTTATTTGAGAAAGTATAGCATTGCAAAATGAAAAATATTAAAATTGTGCTATACAAGGAAGGTGGATATTTAAAACCAATATGGCAAAATGATTGATTTAAAGTATGTTAAAACGATGCAAAAGAGAATATGAAGTTTATTTCTAATCATTGATAGACTTCATAAAAAAATATAAATTAAAGATTAATATTAACTCTAGTATACTTTTATATGATAAAAACATCCACATAAGAATATAAAAGTACTGAAAAAAATTCATGAAACTCCCTTCTAAAGATTCCTAATTTCACTCAAAATAATTAAACTATTCTATAAAATATTCATAAAATATTATTTTTATTTCTTCTATTTTATTTTTAATTGAGTTAAGATCAATCTTTCTTCAAGTTTATCATTTATCATTTCTCGGACAATTCTAGAGTATTGTCTTCATCATCTGCATCAATTGTGACATCAGGCTAATTTTGTATTTTTATGCTATTATCTTTCCTAGGCTCGTTAATTTTTTATCATCTCATTTAACTTAATTTACAAAGAAGTCAAATGTACTTATGATGTTCAACACAAACTGCTCAAAATATAGACTTTGATTTTTTTTCTATTTCAATGAGAATAAATATTAATTTCATATATATAAAATTCTTTGTGTTCCTAATTTATTACTTAAATAAATTAGAAGCTATCTCTTTATTTTCCTCTAAAATGAATTCTTCTGATGTGCATCCAATAAGAATTTCTGTTATTTCAATAATATTACCTTTGCTCTATCCCTGTCATTTTCCATAAAGATCTAAACTAAATACCTGCATTATTCATTACCAATTTCTCTTAGATTATAATATTAATATTTAATTTGAAGAACACAGTATGGAATTTATGAATACTTACTAATTTTTCTTATGTCTTCCATGGAGATTTTTTCTTTGATTAGGATAAAGTTATTAAATTATTTTTTAATGTAACTCATTCAGTGCTTCATTAATAGATATGTCTTATGTTAATGCCAATTCAAGTGATTCATTGACGTTTTCTGAATTTTAGATTTATTTCCATCACTTTCCCATTTGCAATGGAAATAACTCAATTCTTTTAAAGTTATCTCTAAATATTCTAATAGTTTCTCCATATGTAATTCCTTGTATTCTTTTACCCTATAAATATTATTAACGTCAAAGATTAAAGTTTCTAAATTAAAATCAATTAATGCTAAGGTATAATATTATAGTGTTTTATCATTTCTATGGATTTAAACATCTATCAATTAATGTTACGAATGTATTTTGGCTACCCCAACTTATTACTAAAATTATATGAAATTACTTTAATTTATATAGTGCCGATAATTTTTAATCTATAATATTTTTAAAAATTTTATCCATTAACCGGATGTTTTTAATCAATTCTTATTGTTTTTGTTTACCAGTATCAACTTAGACTATTCTTAGATGCTGAAAATGGATAGTAAATCCCTAAATTAGAAATTTTAATATATATATATATATATATATATATTCTAAAATTTTGAGGGTGTTTTTTTTAATTATTAAAACTATAGATTAATTTTGAAAAATATTAAATTTTAGCGGTCTACCAATCGACGAATTTGATGTGTGCTAGTTAAATTTTTTAAAAATTTAGAGTTTTTTTTACGTTTTTTAAATTTTGAAGGAATTTTTTAAAAATTTTGAGGTTAATTTTGGTAAATTTTAATTTTTTAGGTGTCTAAGGGTAATATCTTGAATTTATCTTATTTTATTTATAAATTTTAGAATTTTAGGGTGGCTTTTTATAATTTGAACTTTTAAAGGTGTTTATATAATTTTTGAGATATTGAGGGTGTTAATTAAAAATTTTAAATTTAAATGTTAAAAAATTTTAGGTGTATCATGGTAATCTCTTGAATTCATATGTGTTGTTTGTAAGTTTTAAAATTTTAGAATTTTAATGTGCTTGTCTGTAATTTAAACTTTTGAGGGTGTTTCTATAATTTTTGAGACATTGAGGTGTTAACTATAAAATTTAAATTTTTTGCAAACTGATGTTAATTTTTTAATTTTATATTTTTTATTTTAAGTTTTGAGACATTTGGATGAGTTTTATAATTTTAAACTTTTCAGGGTCTTTTCTGCAATTTTAAAACTTTTTATGGTTTTTTGCAATACTTCATGTATTATAATATGTTATCTACTTGTAATTTATTTATCTTAACAAACTAATATCATTTTTATGTTTTATATATTTTATTAATATTAGTTTTTTTAAATTGTTAAGCTAAACATGGTTCACATAAGATTAGGATAAGATATGATTATGATTAGGATAGATTAAGATATAAATAAAATATTTAAAATAGTGAAGGGTAATATTGACCATTGAAAATTAGAATTTGATTATAGATAAGGTAGTTCAAACTATAAAGGGGTATATTTGTCTAAAAAAGATTTTTCAAACTCGTGCTTTTAAAGGGAGTATGATTTAAGTACATGAAGATCGCATTGAAGTAGTCTGCAAAATAAATGGTTGCTACATATCTATTTTTATTAATAATCACGTAGGACGAATATCAAACTTATTATATACGAGTTTAAAATTTGAAAAAAAACTCATATTGATGAAAGTGTTTCTTAATTTAAACATTAATTTTTCAGTAAATACTAAAAAGAGAGTCTTTTATATTTATGAAAAAAAGAAAAAAAGAGTCAAC